ACACCTTTAGCCCTTTTCTTCCTATTTCATGTTGTCAATTATCTCATTAGGATCTTATGTACTTTTATAGTTTTTCACACCAGGGAAACTACTTGGTATTTACACATGTGACTTATTTATTTCACTTAGGAGTATATCCTCAATATGTATCCATTTTCCTATGAATGAATGTAATTTCTCATACTTTATGGCTGAGTAGTATTCTATTTTATAGAAAAACCACATCTTTTCTATCCAGTTTCCAACTGATGGGCAAATGGGCTGTTTCCAAATTTTAGCTATTACAAACTGTGCCGCTATAAACATAGGTGTGCATATATCTCTGGGATATGATTCTTTTAATTCTTTTGGAAAGATACTCAGCAGAGCTATGGCTGGGTCAAATGGAACCTCTAGTCCCAGCTCTTTGAAAGCTGTCCTTTTTAACATTGAGAGTGTTGGGTATTTTGTCTAATCAACAGGAAAGCAGATAAGACTAAGATGTGTATAGTCATGTCAAGTTGGATTCCTGTATCTCTTTGGGTCTCTACTAACAGTCTTTTGCATTCTCACTTGGGGGCCGCCCCACATGCTTATGAAAACAGCACATCCCCACCTTCCAATCAACTTTGAATCCATTGGCCTTATCTGTCCCTGGAAAGTCCATGATGCCTTTCAAGGTCACCCCGAGGAGGATTTCCTTTCTGGTTTACTGAACTTTGCTCCCTTCCTATTCTCCATTCCCACCATCTGGGTCCAGGGTCCAGGGGCTTAGCTTTCCTGCTTTTCCAGCTGTTGAGGAGGAAAACCTCGTCATTAGCATGAGATATAACTTGAAAAAATGGAGGATTTCATGGGGCTTGGACAGTCTGATGAAGTGAATGTCACAGAACAAAGACCTGCAAAAGTGGAGAGAACCTTGAGATGCTGGGTCAGCTCTGCATGAGGCTGAAGGGGTCAAGAAAGATCTGGTCACTGGGGGGCTCAACAGTTACCCATTCCTGCCTGATGTCAAGTCTTTTCTTCCTTTCAGCCTCCCAGTGCTGCAGCAATGAGACTTGTCACTGTGTACTTTCTGCAGTGATGGTGAGAAACACATTTGCTGACCCTTTGTTCATGTTGTATATTAAAAATCTGCACAATCTTAAGAATTCATTGGTGTATAGTATCCCAAGATTTCTGTGGGACATTTGGCCCAGGACTAGCATGGTTCCCTTCTCTCATGGTCACACAGGGTCCCAGGCCCAGTGTGGTTGGATCCAGGTCTGTGGGGGTGATACTTTCCTGTTAGTTCTGACACTTTCCTTCTGCGTATCCCTCCTCAACCATTGCTTCGGGTGTCTCTCATTGTGCCTAAAGTAGAGAGATTCACCCAGCTACGAGGAAGGGAGGTGCAGACTTCTTTCCACTCCGGACCCTTACTTGATGCTTGCCCTTGGGTGCCTGGCTGTTCTGTGTCCTGGCACACAATGTCAACATATGGCTGTAGGAGGAGGCTGGTTTCATCTGGTGGGAAGACAAGAGACAAGGAGGGCACTGTTGGTAGAATAAAGAAGTGGAATGAGACCTCTCTTTACCCTCGGGGGCTTCTTTCTTGGCACCAACCCTCAGAAAGCTACTGTGAAAGAGAAGTTTGTCTTGCTGCTTCAATGTCCTGACAGCAGCTTCCATATAATTAAACAGAACTCCCCTCCTTCCAGCCCCCAGGAACAACCTTAGCCTGCCCCTGATACCCACATTGACCCAGACTGTGGACCTTTATAAATGAGCCTATTGAGGAATCAGGAGAAATGCATGCAACTTTGAAAAATGTCCCTATTCCCTGAGTCCTGTGCATCTCCCTACTTTCCACCCCCATTGCAGGCTTTTAGACAAGGCCTTTGGTCACTCTGGCTGGACCATCTGTGTGGCCTCCGATGGTGGGGTCACAGCTCTTGGTTTCTAAGAAGACGGTCATATACCATGTGCAAAAATGTGCTGAATGCACCTGGCTCACTGACACCTCCCTGAGAAGTGCTTTAGCAGAGGGGTGGGGGATATGACTTGGCTCCCATCCTGCTTCTTCTACTCACTATTTGAGGGTCTTTTGCAGATATTTCACCTTTTTATCTTAATTTACTTATTCATCTATAACATGGGGATAATGTGAATGCCTACTTCCTAGGAAGGAAGTGATGGTAGAACCAGTTAGTATTTGACAAGGGCTTGGAAAACATCTGGCACATTTTAGCTAGTCTTCTCTAATTACTTTTTGCCCCGGAGGAGTTGTTACAAAACACTGCTTGGGTGGGTGATGTTTGATTCCCTGTGTTTGTGTTCAGATCTCTAGTGGACCAGAGAGGAGATGTTTGGAAACAGAGACTAGGAGTGCAGAGCTCTCAGTGGCCCACCAAGCTATGTGGATGACTCACATGGTGAATTAGTTTTGCTTTTACACCTCAATTTCAATCAGAAATAGGGCTGGCAGATGCTCTCGGCCTTCCCTTATGTCTGTGTCCTCATTAGCCCCAGCCAACTTCTAGCCCTCCTAACTTTCTAGGAGAGTGAAGGGAACAATCTAATCCTGTATTATGTTTTTTTGTTTGTTTTTTGAGACAAGATCTCACTATGTAGTTGAGACTGAACTGGAACTCCCTATGTAGCCCAGGCTGGTCTTGAACTCACAGTGATCCTCCTGCCTTAGCCTCCTGAGTGCTGGGATCGCAGGCGTGTGCCACCACGCCTGGTTTAAACTGTGTTATGTAAAGTCCATCAGCTCAAAAGACACCTGCACATCTAGTCCTGAGTCATCCTCAAGGGAGGAGAAAAGACCCCAAAGTTTAGGTCAGGAGAATTATTGTGCAACCTTGGGAAGGATACTTCATCTCTCTGTGTCTTTTCTCTGTTTTCCTTTTATAGTGAAAAATAATGAATATAGAGGAAGCTATATAAAAATTAAATGCACCACTTAGCAAATACTTTTAATTCAGAGATTTGTACATGTATACATGATTCAGATTGAGAAAAAGAACATGTAAAAGGAAAAAAAATCAATAGCACGTATTAAACCACACTAAAGAAGATTTTGTTCAAGGTGAGGGGACTATGTCATGGGCACAGAAACCATTATGATGGACTTTTACTGTGGGGAGAGAGACTGAGACCTCGAAATACAGTGCAGGTAAGTGGGAACTTATAGTCAAGGTGCAGGGAGGGGCTCAGGGGATGGGAAACAACTCAGAGACGATCTCAGGGATTTCCAAAACTCACCTTGCTGAAGGTAGGCCGGGGTGATCATATATTACCCATGCTAGGAGTGGAGGATGAGGAGCCCAGTCAAATACGAAGAGTGGGAGTACTTGCCAACCTCATTTGCCTAGGCTTCTATGCCTAGGAAGTGCACAGATAGATCTATGAGAAGGTTTCAGGAACCTAAGTTTGGTCTAGCAGAGAATCTTTATCAAACACTGTCAGCTTTATAAAAGTCTCGAGCCCCCTTTTGATCACCTCCCCTCCTTTCCTGCAGAATTTGCTCCTCTTGATGTCTTATGCTATTGCTACTCTTGCTTTTCTTTATTGAGGGTTTGGCGCCTATTCGGGGGAGAAAATTTAACCTAGGAAAAAGGTATGGAATTCAAGAGGCAATGTTAAGCAAATAAATTGGTAAATCAAGCTGGAAAGTCTCAACAAGAACTGAGTCAAATACGCCGTCTGCAATGTAGGTGGCGGACTGGAGGCCAGTGCATCTGGAGCAGGGATGCTAGGATGATGTACTTCTGTTTTGCATTTGAGACGGCATCTGTACAATAAATACGTGGATAAGATGTGGTCAGCAAGCAGGAAGTTGTCAGTGATAGTAGCCCAGTATTTGGTTGGTATATAGAATGGGTAGGGAATTTAGTTGTTAAGCTATGGAATATGTAGATAGAGGATTTTTATTTTTTAAGGGTGTGAAATTAGTCAGTGTACAATTAAAACCTCTCCAAAGGCTGTTAGTTTGAATAATAGGGAAGCTAAGAGTATAATGGTATTTAAATACTTGCCATCAGCAGCCAGATTGCTTGCTTAAATTCTTTTTTTCATATTTTTTTCTTTTTATTGAGTTTATTGGTACATTTTAGGTATACAGTACAGTTACATTCATTATTGGGATCTTGTACCTTTACATGACAGGTCTTGGTTCTCATTTTTTCCCCTTCTCCCTGCCCTCCCTTCACCCCCTCCTCCCCTCTCTATTTACAAACACTTTATTTCCATTTTTTCATTTTCTCATATTTTTTTCTTTTCCCTTATTTCCTTTCCCACTTTCCCTACACCTTTAGCCCTTTTCTTCCTATTTCACATTGTTAATGCTTGCTTAAATTCTAATGCATCCACTCACGAGCTGGTTACCTTGAATGGGTCACTTAGCACCTTCATTCTTCATCCCTCTCCTCTGTAAAAGGAGATACCAGTTCCTATCCCATAAGGGTATTTTCAGTAGTGAGAAAATACCCATGCAACACTTAGAAGATCCATTATTTATTAAGCTCTGAACCATGTTGGTGAAATAGGAGAGTAAATGTAAATTTTTTGCCTGGGGTGTCAAGATGCAATGCTTAGAAAAAATAAAGCACGTACAATGTTCCAAAATGACTTGCTAGTCTGAATTGCAATGCTTCAAAGAAAAAACAAGCACATAAACAAGTCATGCCACTCTTAAACCCTACACCTGTGTCAGCGTTGTATAAAATGATATAGCTGTCAAAAGGTAGAAGGAGAGAAGGTATCATTGGGGAGAGGTTTGTTGTGAGTTCTTCTCCTCAGGAGGAGTAGGGGCAGGTGCTGACTCCCATATCTCAAGCCTAGCTGAAGTGGGGCTCTTACATGTCCATGGATGCCTAAGATAAATCGAAGGGGCAAGAGATGAGAGACCAGTAGATGAGTGTGGCTGCTTCTCCAGTTGCATTTTGTTTAAACCCTGAACTGAGGCTGCCAGGAATGAAAAGGGGAGGGGAAAGAAGTGGGTGGCAATAGGAGGCAGGGCCAGCGCAAGAGCTAGGACCCTGTGGACTCCAGCCTAAGGACTCTTATCTTTTGCGGTTGGCGTTTCTACCTCTTTCCCTTGTGGTTGGTGCTTCTACTCAGAGCTGCCAGGTGAGTGTAAGTGAACGCATGGGCTGAGGGCAGCCAAGTTGGCTCAGGGACTGCTGGTGGCAGCGGCAGGGGCTTCCCTGGGCTCTAGAGAGGCTTCTCAAATCTGACCACATGAGTCAGCCAGTGATATTATTGCAGTTCAGACACGGTCTAGATGATTCAGATGTGTCTTGATATTCTGCATTCCTACTGATATTCATGGCCACACTTTGAATAGAAGCATTGAGAGTATTATCCAAGCCAGGTGGGGGAGGGTGGGTGCAATGAGCCTGAATTTGCACTAACAGGTCCTGCCCTCCCTCTGGACATCCCCTCTCTTATCCTTTAACTCTCTGGGATGGACTCTGCTGCCAACAGTATCCTGACATTTTTCTTCAAAAGAATATGCAATGTTTGGAAAAATTCTTATCAAAATCATAATGGAATTAAAAAAATCTGTTTAATATATTTGAAAATCCACTCAAACTCCAAGCTTTCTTTCCTCTACTGATTCTTGAGCTCATAGATGTTGCTTCACTGTCTAAAATCTCTGTAAAATTCAGATCCTGTCAACTCCCAGACAAACGTATTTGAAAACTGTGCTTCCACTGTTAGAAACGGAGCACTGTCTCTTAAAGGGAGCTTATCAAGGGAGCTGGGTAGTAGCTTCCCTTCCTTTTCTGTCTTAGTTCCTAAGGGGTTGTTATTCAGCCTAGGGACCCTAGTACCTGTGGGGCAAAGCTGTAACCTTGTCTGTAAGAAGAGGATGTCAATCTCAGAGAATGAGACAGGTGGGCTGGAGCAGTGGTACCAGACAGGGAAGACCACAAGGTCTGAGGAAAGCAGGCAGTTGTATAGGAAACTCCTTCTAGTTTGTCTGAAGACTTTGGGGGATGGAACATGTCTGAGCTCTCCAGGAGACCTAGGTGATGGGCAGAATAGGTATTGTTTTGAGGACAATTTCAGGGGCTCAGGGACAAGGAAAGATACTTAGTGTTAGATATGGGGGCTCCAAACTAAAGAGTTCTTAGGCAAGAGGTCTGTGGTGAGATCGGTCCTGAGAGCCTCTGAGAGAACATGTGATTGTCTGGCATGGGCTCCGGAAAGAGGATAAGGCAGGGAATCGGTAAAGTACTTGAATTCCCAACCCCTAGAATGTGTCAGGCCTGTCCCTTATTACCTTCTAGGTCTGCTGGGAATGTGTTTAGAGGGTGCTGGGCTTATGCACTGAAATAAGATGAGGCTGAGAGCAAGAATTTAAAATTTATTAGCATTTAATATTTATTTAGCAGACCAATTAGCATTTAGTCTGATTATTCTCCAAGAAAACCAGGGCAGAAGCCATCAGCACCCTGGGACTTCCTCCCCTAAATCCAGGGACCCTGTGGACTTGTGCAGAGGTATGGGGCTCTGGGTAATTTCATGATGGGGGCTGAATGCAGGGGGCTGTGAGGCCCACCTGGAAGATGGGCTGATTATCATAGACTTATGAAATGGAAAGCTATAAAAGCCTCTTGAGATGCCTTGCCTCACAGAGCTGGCAACAGGGGCAGGGAGTGGAGAGATGATAAGCCATTGCTACCCTGAAGTAGTGCTTCTCAAATCAGGATGAATTTATCACCTAGGACATTTAGCAGTGTCTGGAGATATCTTTGGTTGTCCCATGTGGGCAGGAGGGGAGAAATGTGCTGCTGCCCAGGGGTGCTGGGAAATACTGTATTGTACAGGACAGCACCCACCGCCAACAAAACATTACTGGTTTCAAATGTCAATAGTGCCAAAGTTGAGACACTTAAAACCAGCACTGGGAGTTGACCTTTCTTTTGATTCTCTGTAGAGCTCAATAACAATCCCTCCCAAATTTAGTCAACGTTTATTGAGAAGTTAGTTTTTCCTCAGGCACTGATGTAATAAGTGCTTTCTCTCCTTCTAAGTAAGGTACAGGTTGAATATCCCTTACCTGAAATGTTTGAAACCAGAATCCTACAGAAATTTGTTTTCTTTTGATTTTGGAATATTTGTAAATAAATAATGATATTTCTTGGGCATGGGACCCAACTCTAAGCATGAAATTTACTTATGTTTCATACAAAGAGTGATTAAAGAATACAACGAATTGACAAAATTTAAAACACCTTGTGCACTTATTACAGTAAAAGGCATATTGCCAGAAATGATGAGGTACATTTTTTTGAAGAGCAGGGAGTATTTTGAGTGGGATTAAAGGCAGTGTGTCTTTCACTATAATTTAAATTTAAAATTCATTGTAGTTATTGATCACTCCACATTGATTAAATGTTTTTGGTAATTTTGTCAAGTAAAAATGTTATGGTGTATCCCCATCCACCTTATTCACTGGATCTGTCACGGTGTGATTTCTGGCTCTTTTTCAAACTCAAAATGACCATGAAAGGCATTTTGCATTGATTCAGGACATCAAGACAACTGTAACAGTGCAACTAAAGACACTCATGAAAGAGGACTTTCAGAACTGCTTCAGAAAGTGGCAAAAACAATGGGATGTGAAGGGGAGAATTTTGAGAGGTATTAGTAGCAATGTGTCTTTTACTGTAATAAGTTAAACATTTTATTCATTCTTTGTGTATTTTGATATATATTATATATATCATATCACATATATATCATATCACATATATATTATATCTTATAGTCTGAAGATAATTTTATACAATATTTCTATGATACCTGCATTCACCTTGACATGTATCATGTGTCATACCAGGTCAAATGTGAAATTTTCCTCTTCTGGTGGCTTGTTGTTTGGATTTTGGAGCATTTTAGATTTTAGATATTTGGTTAAGGATGTTCAGCCTGTAGTGATTTTGTTTTGTTGTCTTGATTTTCACATAAGCAAAACAGGTGTGTTCTGTATTTGTTTACCTGTTGCTACTTTCACTATTTTTTTCCTCTCAATTCTAAACAGCTTCTCAAGTATGTTTCTGAGTATCCCAACTCAACTTTCTTCAGTCTCTGATACACTGTTTTCAAGGTGGATTTTAATTGTGACATACTGATGATACTTTTAGTTTACTTTTATGTGTTTAAAAAATCCATTTAGCCTCAAATTTTAAAGAGTCTTGGAAATAACTACAATCTCTCACCTTTAATTATGAGACTAATTTTGTCGTGCTAAAGATTGAAAATTGATTGCTCCTGAAAATTTTAAATTATTTTTATTGAGAAATTTCAGTGGCCTGATATGCTTCTAAATATATTTATCATATATATATATAACAGTCTGTGAAGGAAGTAGAAAGATAGGTACTGAGAGAAGTCTGACTTCTAGGGGCTCAAAATATAGTTCCATCACAGCTGGTAGATAGTGACAAATTTCTCTGGTCAATTAATCATCTTAGAGTGGTCCCTTGAAAGCCTCCTAATCCTTCTAACTGATCAGGAGTAATAATTTTCCCTGTGCCATGGTATATGGGTTGTTCTCATGTATAGTTTGTAATACTAATTCCCATTTAAAATTGTTTTATGCATATTGCTGGGTATTTTAATTGAGAAACTGAGATGAGACAGATTAGGCAAGGTTATTTCTGCTATGTTAACTTAGAGAACCCAGTAATTGTTATTAGAGTTAAAGGGAGATACCTAATCATATTCATAGCTGAAGGGAAATAACAAGGAAGGAGTCTAAATTGTAGGGAAGATCAAACTGATTTGGGGATCAAATTCCTGAAGAAGCAGGAGAGATCCAAGGACATAGATTTGGAAGGAACAGTAGCCTTGGAGCAGTGTAGGGTTGTTTCTTTTCCTAAGATGTTAGATAAAGAAATAAATGTGAAGATAAAATAGTAGTTGTAGGGTTTCACACTAGAATCTCTATTTCTTCTGTGGAATAAGATGCATAGTGTTTTGTCATAGTCTGTTCAGGCTGCTATAGCAAAACACCTTAGACTGGGTAACATAAACATTTATTTGTTTCAGTTCTAGAGGTAGGGAAGTCCAAGATCAATGCTCAAGTAGACATGGTATGTGGTGAGGGCCTGTTTCTCATAGGCTGTACCTTCTAGTGTCCTCACATGGTGGAAGAGATGGAAAGGCTCCCTCAAGCCTCTTTTATAATGACACTATCCCTGATGATCTAAAGGTTCCACCTCTTAATACTATCATACTGGGTATTAAGATCCCACATGTGGATTTTGGAAGGACACCAACTTTCAGACCATAACACATGGTCTTTGGGGATTGAGAAGAGCCAAGTGTGTAAGGATTTGGGTTTGGGATTGGGGACGGTTAGAAAGAGCTGCTGGGCATTGAGGAAGGCTGTTGACTAGGACAGAGATAAAGATGACAAAGTTGGGTTTGAAACGTGATAGGATTTTGGTGGTGGAACTGAGGAATTTCTGAAACTTGTCCTTAACTGTGATCATCTCTTACTGTGAGGAATATATATACCCAGAATACAGTGGCAAAGGGGAGTGAAATTTGAATTTCTATTCTATCATTGCTGGCTTTAGCCTCAAACACAATAACATTTAATTATGGCAAATTCTGCTGTTTCCTTCAAGATGTTCTTATGTTCCTAAGCTGGTAAGGTCTGAAGATTAAAGTGCTCTTGAACTCTCCCTGGTTATTTCACCCCAATCCTACTTAGCCTGTTAACCTAACCACATCTCAATCTTACCAGCATGATGGGAGCACCTGAAGGTAAGGCAAAAGAGAAAAACAAGAGCAACAGAATGGATGTCCCCTCCCAGTGTTAGCACTGATTTGGTTAAGGTGACACTGTTAGTGCCACCAGATGTAGCAGCCATCACCTGGGAAGCAACAAATAAAGGCAGAAATAAAAAAATGTACTATCCTGGATTATTACTATTAGTCTTTGGGAAAAGGAGAGAGGGATGGAGGATAAAAAAGGCAGAGAACCCCTGCTGAATGTTCTTCATTCTGGCAATATAGAAGTGGAAGCCAGGAGAGAGAGAGAGGGGTGGGGGTGGGGGAGGGAGAGAGAGACTTATACAATTCACTACTGCACTATTCATCTTACATAGATGCTTCACTTCCATTAATTAAAAAACAGGCACAGAGTCTTGATATTTGCTACGGTTTAGAGGAATGCCCTTCAAAGATTCAGGTCCTCAGGGTGGTGATATTTGGAGGTGTCATGGACTTTTAAGAGGTGAGGATTAACGGGATGTCTTTAGGCCTTGGGGACATGCTCTTAAAACGGATTGTAAAACCTCTCCCTCCGTACCAGGGAGTTGGATATGTGAGCGCTTGCTCGGACATATGCTCCTTTCCTTTGCTATCCAAGACATGAAGTGATGCATTCAGTGGGTGACCTTTGCCAAGTCTGTGCTATGCTCTGGACTTGGAATCTCCCAAACTGTGAGTTAAATACACCCTTTTACTTTACAAAGTTAATTGCCCCAGGTGATTCATTCTAAGTATACAAAGCTGAGAAATATAACATTTGATCAATCAGGTCTTCGGAGAGGGGGAAAAAGGCTTTATGAGTCCTTGGGTTAGCAGTGCCAAGGTAACCTGCGGCTCTCTAAAGAGCAGTTAGCAACACACCTACACTGACTGTTGTTCTCTGTTCCCTAACAGGATGTGTGGCAGGTTCCTGAGGCAGCTATTGGCTCTAGAGAGCCAGCACTCCACCCTCATGGGGCGCCTCCTGCTTCCTGTGCTCCTGGGATTCCGCCTTGCTTTGCTGGCCGCCAGTGGGCCTGGGGTCTACAGTGATGATCAGAGTGAATTTGTGTGTCACACCCAGCAGCCAGGCTGCAAGGCTGCCTGCTATGATGCTTCCCACTCGCTTTCTCCACTGCGCTTCTGGGCCTTCCAAGTCATCCTGGTGGCTGTACCCAGTGCCCTCTATGCGGGGTTCATCCTGTGCCATGTGATTGAACACTGGGAAGAACCAAGAAAGATGAAGATTGAGGAAGAGACTCTGGTCCATAAAAGGGACAGCTGCAGAGATGCCTCAGGGGCCGGAAGCCACAAGATGCTCTGGGCCTATGTGGCACAGCTAGGGGCTCGAGTGGTCCTTGAAGGGGCAGCCTTGGGGGGGCAGTACCATCTGTATGGGTTCAAGGTGCCCAGTTCCTTTTCATGTCGTCGAGATCCTTGCCTCGGCAGCATAACCTGTAATCTGTCCCGTCCCTCTGAGAAGACCATCTTTCTAAGGACCATGTTTGGGATTAGTGGGCTTTGCCTTTTGTTTACTCTTCTGGAGCTTGTGCTTCTGGGTTTGGGGAGATTGTGGAAGCTCCAAAAGCACAGATTTTCCTCTTCTAACTGCTTCTCAACTTCAGAGAGCACCACAAGACACAAGGAACCAACCAGTAACTTCCCAGTTGTGGAAACAAAAGAGTAGTTTTGAGAAGCAGGTGAGAAGGACCCTAACCCCAATGTCTTTCCCTTCCTGCCCCTAATGTCTCTATACTGATAATCTCTATCCAGGGCAGGTTCCTCATCCTTCTGGGAAGTGCAACTTCTGCATGTTACAAAGTAGATCACCAATTTTCAGGCAGATGCATTTTGACCACTGCCCCCACCATTTCCCCGTTCCCATTCCCATCAATTGGATGACTCCTTCCAGTGAACCAGGATGAGAGCACCAATCTGCTGCACTTGCTGCTTTTTCATTTAGTTCTTTCCTCACTTAAGAAAACGTCTCAGCTTTTGCTTGACTTCAGCTCATTTGTAGAGGATATCATGATTGGATCTTCTTTAAAATGTCCATTGAGTGAAGATTCAGACCCAGGACAAATTAGAGGCTGTTGAAGGATATCTAAGGGCCACAGTGGGCCATGCAGTTGAAAGCACAATATTGAGGAATTCCTTATTATTTCTTCTCACCAGAATTGTCTGGTGTCATCATCAGAATTTTCGTAGGGTTGGTTAAAGAGTCACTGAACAGAAACATACATGAACCATGTCTCTCCCTTGCCATGCTCAATAAATATTGATGACACTAATGACATTCACTTTGGTGAGGACAGTGTTCTTTTCTGTATCATGTACTCTACTTATTTCTTATGCTCTGTATTCTGTGTTCCCTATGACTTTGAAGTCCTATAATTTGTGAATGGTACCCAGCCCTGTAGCCATGGAAATTTTGGCTATGGAAAAACAAGTGTACATAACCCAAAGTCCTTTAATATCAGGATATTTGTTCAATTACTCAACCACATCATTGGGAAGATTACTGTGATTTCACAGGCTGAGTCCCTATGAGCTTGGGCAGCTCTGATTTCTGCTCACTTCTCACTGGGTACACTGCATCTGTCCCCATGGTCTTTGACACAGTTTAAATGCAGGCCCAAGTCCCTAATTTTGAAATTCATTGCTCTCAATACTGCACAGCAAAGACAAGAGAATTTTAAAGGTGATTTAAGAATAATAGCAAAGGGAAGTTTACAACTGAATGTAATTCAGAGGATAATTTAAATTTGAGCATCAAGTTTTTTTTCTGGAGTCTTTCAGTTATTTCTGTTGGAGAATGTGTTACCCATATGCTTTTTGGCAGAATCCCCTTTCTCCATAGTTCTTTTTTTTTAACCCATAAAGAAAAATAACTTGGTTTTGTTTTCTTTCTTCAGATTCCAAGTTATACCTGAATTTAAGAAAATACATTAAGTTAAGGAGTTAAGAAACCTCATTTCCGAGGAAAGGCATTTGGTTTCTAACAGATAATTTGGCAACAAATAGGAAAATAACATTTTTTTTTCTTTATCCTACAAAAGTTTCTCATAAGAATGCCTATCTACTATAGCCGGAGTCCAGCTGAAGTGACTAAGGGGAAAAAAAAAACCAAACAAATGACATTATTATTTTTCTTTATACAACTCCCAGTGAAAGAGCTTTGTTGAGATACAATTCAGAAACCATATCAATTTACCTGTTAAATTAGTCAATGAAATGGATTTCAGTATGTTCACAGAGTTGTGTATCCAATACAATTTTAGAATATTTTCATCAACGGAAAAAACAAAACAAAAAGCTCCTACCTCATTTAGCTGTTACCTCCAGTCTTTTATTTCCCCAATCATAAGCAACAATTGATTTATTTTCTAACTCTATGGACTTTCCTACTCTGGGCTTTTCATATAAATAGAAACATAAAATATTTGGTCATGTACATTGGCTGAAATTGTGTGCCATTTTTCTTTCAAGGTTCATTTATGTTGTAGCATGTATCAGAACTTAATTCCTTTATATAATCGAAAATCATTCTATTGTTAGGATGTATTACATTTGTTTAACTGGGTAGTGTTTTGTTTCTATTTTTTGGGGTATGAAAAATAACTACGATTTTTTACATAATGAGGGGAAGTGGGGTTGAAAGAATAAGGGAAAGAAAAAATAAGAATCAAAATATATTATGTATATATTATAAATTATATATATTATAAATTCCCTATGAGGAATGTGATCATTATGTGATCAATAAACTTAATTAGTTATAAAAAAGAAATTCAGGACCACCAGAAAAATTACGTCGCTATGAACACTTCTATACCAGTAGAGTCTCATTAAGTAGTTCAGGCTGGTCTTGATTTACCAGGTATCCCAGGCTGGCCTTGGACTCTCAGTGATCCTCCTACCTTAATCTCCCCAAGTGCTGAGATGACGGACATGTGCTGCCAAACCTGGCTCTATGTCAGTTTTTGTTTAAACACATTTTCAATTTTCTTGAATAAATATCTAGGAATGAAATTGCCAAGGTACATGGTAACTCTTGTCAAACTAACTTACACAGCAGCTGCACTATTTTTACATCTCAAATTAGTCACATTTTCAGCAACATTAGTTATTTTTTTTGTGTGTGTGTTGTTAAAAAAACTTCTAGTCATCCTAGTTTGTATAAAGTGGTGTCAAGTGGTTTTGATTTGCACTTCTCTTATGATTAATGGTATTAAATATCTTCCCATGTACTTACTGGCTACTTGTATGTCTTCTTTGGAGAAAGGTCTGTTTGAATCCTTTGCTGATTTAAAAACTGGGTAATATTTATTTCTTGTTGTTGTGCAGTAGAGTTCATTATTTAATATGGATGTTAGATGTTTATCAGATAAATTATTTTCAAACATTCTCTCCCATTCTGTAGGTTCTTTACTCTCTTGATAGAGTTCTTTGATGCACACAAATTGTTATTTGGATCAAGTCTAATTTATTCATTTTTTCTTTTGTGGCTTGTAATTTTAGTGTCATATTTAACCACTTAAGAGTTTATCATAAGCATCACTTGCAGTGTGTTCCTTTACATATTGACTATCCTAGCATCACTTGGGCAGGTGTCATTTCCTTTTAAAAATATATTTATTTTCTTTTTTTAAAAATTGAGTTTATTGGTACATTTTAGGTATACAGTATAGTACAGTTACATTCATTATTGGGATCTCATACCTTTACATGACAGGTCTTTGTTCTCATTTTTTTCCCCTTGTCCCTGCCCTCCCTTCACTCCCTCCTCCCCTCCCCATTTACAAGCACTTTATTTCCATTTTTTCATTTTCTCATATTTTTTCTTTTCCCTTATTCCCTTTCCCACTTTCCCTACACCTTTAGCCCTTTTCTTCCTATTTCACATTGTCAATTATCTCATTAGGATCTTATGTATTATTATAGTTTTTCACACCAGAAAAACTATTTGGTATTTACACATGTGTGACTTATTTATTTCACTTAGGAGTATATCCTCAATGTGTATCCATTTTCCTACAAATGAATCAATCTAATTTCTCATTCTTTATGGCTGAGTAGTATTCCATTTTATAGAAAAACCACATATTCTTTATCCAGTTTCCAACTGATGTGCAAATGGGCTGTTCCCAAGTTTTAGCTATTACAAACTGTGCCGCTATACACATGGGTGCACATATATCACTGTGATATGATTATTTTAACTCTTTTGGAAAGATACCCAGCAGAGGGATGGCTGGGTCAAATGGAACCTTCCATCCAAGCTCTTTGAGGTATCTCCATACTGATTTTCACAGTGGTTGCATCAGTCTTCACTCCCACCAACAATGGAGAAGGGTTCCTTTCTCCCCATAACCCCACCAACATTTGTTATTGGTTGATTTCTTGATAGCAGCCATTCTTTTTGGGGTGAGGTGGAATCTCAGTGTTGTTTTCATCTGCATCTTTTGAATGACTAGTGATGTGGAACATTTTTTCATATACTTACTTGCTGCTTTTACATTGTCTGAGAAATGTCTGTTCATTTCGGATGCCCATTTTTGAATCAGGTCTTTGTATTTGGGAGGGCTGATTGTTTCGAGTTCTTTATATATCCTTGATAATAGTCCTTTGTCTGAGGAACAGCTGTTAAAATTTTTTCCCACATTGTAGATTGTCTCTTAGTTCTGCTGATGGTTTCTTTTGAAGTACAGAAGCTTTTTCATAAGATGAGATCCCAGTTGTTGATTCTATCTGCTAGTTCCCGTGCTACTGAGGATTTGTTCATAAAGTCTTTTCCTATACCAATGACTTCCAGAGTTCTGCCTAACTTATCTTCCAGCAAGTTTAGTGTTTCTGTTTTAATATTTAGCTCTTTAATCCATTTGGATTTTAATTCAGTGCATGGTGAAAGATAAGAGTCCAGTTTTAATCTCTGGCAGATTGAGATCCAGTTTTTCCAACACCATTTATTAAAGAGGCTATCTTTCCTCCAGTGGGGATGGTCAGCTCCTTTGTCAAAGATGAGGTAGGTGACTACATCTGGAGTTGTTTTTGTGTCTTCCAATCTATTCCACTGATCCTCAGGTCTGTTTCTTTTCCAGTACCACGCTGTTTTTATCACAGTGGCTTTGTAGTATAGTTTCAAATTGGGAATTGTTATACCTGCTGCCATGTCTCTGTTGCTTAGGATGGCTTTTGCTATTCTAGGTCTCTTATTGGTTCCAAGTGAATTTTTGGATTCTTTTTTCAGTTCTGTGAAATATAGTGTTGGAATTTCAATTGGCATTGTATTGAATCTGTATAGCAGTTTTGGTAGTATGGCCATTTTCACTGTGTTGATTCTTCCTATCCCAGAGCAGGGGATATCTTTCCATTTTCTATTTATTTATTTATTTATTGGTACTGGGGATTGAACTTGGGTTCTTGCGCTTGCAAGGCAGGCCACTGAATAGCTGAGCTAAATAAATTTTCTTATATCCTCTTCGATCTCTATTTTTCAGAGTGCTATAGTTTTCAGTGTAGAGGTCTTTTGCTTCTTTTGTTAGATTGATTCCTAGATATTTCATGTTTTTGAATGCTATTGTGAAAGGAATTGTTTCCCTAATTTCTCTCTTAGTGTACAAGGAGGCTACTGATTTTTGGGTGTTGACCTTTTATCCAGCTACTCTGCTAAAAGTGTCAGTTAAGTCTAGAAGTCTTTTGGTGGAGTTTTTTGGGTCTTCAATGCAGAGTATCATATCATCAGCAAATAATGACAGTTTAACTTCTTCTTTTCCTATCTTTGTTGCTTTAATTTCTTTCTCTTGTCTAATTGCTGTGGCTGATGTTTCCAGAACTATATGGAAGAGGAGTGGTGATAGTAGACATCCTTGTCTTGTTCCTGATTTTAACATGAAAGTTTTCAGTTTCTGTCCATTTAATATGATGTTGGCTGTTGGTTTTTCATAGATAGCCTTTATTAAGTTGAGATATAGACCATCTATTTCAATTTTTTGCAGGGTTTTTATCATGAATGGGTGTTGGATTTTGTCAAATGCTTTTTCTGCATCTATTGAGAGTATCATATGGTTTTTGTCCTTGACTCTGTTAAAATAGTGTATTACCTTTATTGACTTACGTATGTTGAACCATCCTTGCATCCCTGGAATAAATCCGACTTGGTCAGGATGTATGAACTTCTTGATGATCCTCTGTATTCTCTTTGCTAGTATCTTATTCAGGATTTTTGCATCTATATTCATTAATGAGATTCACTTGTAGTTCTCTTTTTTAGTTGTGTCTTTCCCTGGTTTGGGAATCAAAGTGATACTTGCTTCTAGGAATGAATTTGGAAGTATTGCTTCCCTTTCAATTTCATTGAAAAGTTTGAAGAGTAATGGTGGTAGTTCTTCTCTCAATGTCTTGTAAAATTCAGCAATGAATCCATCAGGGCCTGGTATTTTCTTTGTTGGAAATTTTCACTTACAAAAAAAAATACTTTCAGTTAATTTAATTACTAATGGATTTTTAGAAAACTTTATTTTTATTAGTACATATTTGTTATATTGATCACATTTCTTATAGGGAGTTTGTACTTGTACAGAATATATCTTTGTTTTTAAGAATAGGAAGAATTTATTGGGAGAAAGATAGCTTCTCTCTAAGAGAGAAAGGAGGGAGTCTGGAGAGTGGGTTGCCTGCTTACCCAACTTTCTCAAAGGTGTTTTTGTACATAATTTATCTTAATTCCCTTTTCCCACCTTCCCCTCCCTACCCTTCAACCCCTCCTCCGTTCCTCATTCTGTCACCAAAAACAAAATAATAAAAGTGTTTTTTTCCTTCTGGAAAATGGGTTAGCATGGGTTTGGCTGTATGCTGGATGTATTGTAGTATATGTCGGGCAGATTATTTGTTGTATTTATCTGGAGATGAAGAATGGCTTATGGAGATATGCATGGATGCCAGATTGATTGAAAATGGACAATCTAGTGCTTCCTTTATTTGTCTCTGGTGGCTTTGTGATATGTCTGTTTGGTTAGGGTGAACTACATGTCCCAGAGCTCCAATTTTTGTGCAGTTCTTCATAAGTGGGGGGGTTAAAGATGTGATTCCTGCAAGATTTGGAGGCTAGAGGGAAGCATCTGCTTTGTATTTATTCATACTCCTGCTGATCTGCTGACCAACTTACTGGTGTAGAGCAGCAGCTAGGCTTGCAGGTGTTCTGTCTTCCCCAGGATTGTCCCCTGGGTTCTTTGATATGTGGGCCAGGTGTGTACATTCAGCTCCATTGAGAAGGGCCCCAGCTCCTGTAAGATGCCTACATAACAAATTCCAGACATAACAAAGACTGACATGGGTTTCAATCTGCCCTTGTGGGGTTGTAGATCATGCTTGTGGGTTCCAGTTTATCTGTCCATCTCTATATCTGTTTTCTCTTCTTGATTGCTTGCTCCTTGGACACACAGGTGACATCCCCACATGAGTCACCTAATCTGCTTTCAGAATTGTTTAAGGTCAAAGTTGTGAAACACAATCCATCACACTATGTGTACGTGATTTATCTTAGCGGTTCAGATTCTTTGGTTGAATCCTGACTGATGAACTTAACAAAACTGAACAAACCATACATATACAGCACACACAAATATTCCTCATACATATACTTGTATATGGTTATGTATAAATATGTGCAGAGTCTAGATATTTTGGAATTTCAAAGTGATCATATTTGTGAAAATAGATTTTAGATTAAAAAAGGTTAATTCAACATTTATAGCTGTTGAATGTTTTGAAGTAAAAGAATAGAGCCCTCTTTGCAAGGGTCTACTCTACTCTATGCTAGATCACAGTATTTCTGATATGTCATTTTATCTCTACTCTTTTTCCAGAGATTGAGAAAGCAGACATGTGGCAGAGGAATCAGACTTCTCTGGAAGACTTCATCCTTGAGGAACTTTTTGATGACTCCCTGCTCCACCTTTTTCTCTTCTCCTTCACCATGGTAGTCTTCCTTATTGCAGTGAGTGGCAACAGCCTCACCATTCTCCTCATCTGTGCCGACCCCCGGCTTCACACACCCATGTACTTCCTGCTCAGCCAGCTCTCCCTCATGGACCTGATGCACGTCTCCACAACCATCCCCAAGATGGCTGCCAACTACCTATCTGGCAAGAAGTCCATCTCCTTTGTTGGCTGTGCAGTCCAGCACTTCCTGTACTTGTCTGTGGGTGGTGCTGAGTGCATTCTCCTGGCTCTCATGTCCTATGACCGCTATGTTGCCATCTGTCATCCACTGCGTTATTCTGTGCTCATGAGCAGAAAGGTGGAGATTATGATGGCTGTTGTGTTGGAATGTGATTACTGAGGGGGGGGTGTCTCCAGATAGACCACCAACCACACTGACAAGGATCAAATCAGCTTTATTGCCAGTGCCTTCATGGTATTTAAATCACCTTGAAAGCATCAGACAGAAGTTTACTCTCATTTTTATATCTTTATGTTTCTAGAGGAGGGGGCAATAGCAATTATAGTTGATGGGGAGACAACAATCAATCTAAACATAATTACATAAACAAAAGGTCCATGAAGGGAGGAGCAGGAGATTTGGCAGGACTTTCTTTGCCCTAGTGAGTCTGTCTTACAGCAGTGACTACAGTTATGATATATCTTTCTCAGCAAGCACAGTCACGCAGTTAACCCATAGTTGCCCATTTTTATACTGGGAGACAGTTGCCACCCTCAATTTTGTGACTGGGGGCAGTTATTAACTGCTTCCTAATTCACACACTAATGGTGCTGCACTTTCCTTTCTGTGGACCTCAGAAAGTGCACCACTTCTATTCTGAGTTTCTAGCTTTTGTGAACCAGTATGTGGTGATATTGCTCTTTATGAGGCCACAGCATATATCAGCTCCATCACACTTCTCCTTAATCCTCTCATCCTGGTTCCTACATCCTCTGGCTTCATCATTCACAGCGTACTCAGGTGTGTCAAGCCAGCAGTAAGAGAAATGCCTTTACCACTTGTAGCTCTCATCTCCCTGTGGTTTTCTTCTTGTTTAATGCTCGTATCTTCTTGTATGGAGACACAGGTCCCAGCATACCTTGTCTTGTTTCTGATTTCAGTGTGAAGGATTGCAGTTTTTGAACATTTAGTATGATATTAACTGTTGGTTTTTCATAGATGGCTTTATCAGGTTGAGGTAGAGACTGTCTACTACAATTTTTGTAGGTTTTTTTTTTTTTTTTAAATCACGAATGGGTGTTGGATCTTGTTGAATGCTTTTTCTGCATCTGTTGAGGTGGTCACATAATTTTTGTCCTTGGCTCTATTAATATACTGTATTACATTTTTTTTTGCTTCCAACCCTGCATCCCTGGGATGAATCCCACTTGATCAGGGTGTATGATCTTTTGCATTCTGTTTGCTTGTATCTTATTAAGGATTTTTGCATCCATGTTAATTATTGAAATTGGCATATAGTTCTCTTTTTTGCTTGGGATTTTCTCTGCTTTGGAATTAAGGTGATGCTTGCTTCCTGGAATGAATTTGGGAGTATTGTTTCCCTTTCAATTTCACTGAAGACTTTAAATAGTAGTGGCAATAGTTCTTTTCTAAATGTCTGGTAGAATTCAGGAGTGAAGCCATCAGGACCTGAGCTTAAATTATGTTTTCAATTTCATTGAGTGATATTGGGTTGTTTGGAATTTTTAGGTTATCTTCCTTGATCTTTGGTAATTCATATATATCTAGAAATCTGTCCATTTCTTATGTGTTTTCCATCTTATTGGTGTATGTATAGCTTGAAGTAGGTATTGATGATCCTCTGGATTTCTTCTGGGTCCATTGTAATTTCACACTTTTCATTCTTAATTGCATGGATTTGAGTCTTTTTTTTTTAAATGAGGTTGGCTGAGGGTTTGTCAGTTTTGTTTATTCTTTTAAGAAGCAACTCGGCTTCACTGTATTGTCCTCTTAGTCTCCATTTCATTGATCTCTGCTCTGATCTTTATAATTTCCTCCCTTGTATGAACTTTGGCTTTGTCCTGGTCTTCTTTTTCTAGAAACTTGAAGTTCAGCATCAGGTTGTTTATTTAAGCTTGGTCTGTTTTCCTAATATGACTGTTCACTGCTATGAATTTCCTTCATAAGACTCATTTCATTGTATCCCATAGATTCTGGCATATTGCATTTTCTTTCTTTCTTTCTTTCTTTCTTTCTTTCTTTCTTTCTTTCTTTCTTTCTTTCTTTCTTTCTTTCTTTCTTTCTTTCTTCCTTCCTTCCTTCTTTTCTTTTTTGGTTCCAGGGATTGAACTCACGACCTTGTGCGTGCAAGACAGGCTGTGACACCACTGAGCTAAATCCCTGGCCCTTGTATTTTCATTGTCATTTTAAAATTTTTTATTGAGCTTATTGGTACTTTTAAAGTATATAGTGCAGTTGCATTCATCATTGGGATCTTGTACCTTTGCATGACAGATCTTGGTACTCATTTTTCTCCATTCATTGTCATTTAATTGTAGAAACTGCCTGATTTATTCTTATTTCCTCTGTGACCTTTAGAAACACTCTTGCTATCCCCCTTTTAGTGTATTCTAATATAAATAATTTTCTTCTTTATTGTGATCTTGGTAATTTTTTTTATCACTCAGGTCATCTTGCATGGAACATTACATTAAGAGAAGAAAGAAAAAAATATGACCATGCCTACTGATGTTTCTTATAAAATTCAACATTCTTTCATGAAAAAATACCCAACTGGGCTAGGATGTAGCTCAGTGTTGCAGAGCCTGCCCAGCAAGTGAGAGGACCTGAGTTTGATCTCTGTACCAGCCCTCCACCAAAACAAACAAACAAAAAAACAAAAAAAGCACTGAAGCACTCCCCAAACCAACCAAGCAAACAAACAAAAAAACTCAATAAACTAGAAATATAAGAAAATTCCCCCTAATGTTATAGTGGCCATATATGAAAAATTGACATGTAACACACTAAGTGGTAAATGCTGAAAAATTTCTGCCTAGGATCAGAAATAAAAAGCAAGAGTGGTTAATATGGTTAATTTTTTGGGGGGGAACCAGGCATTGAACTCAGGTCCTTGTGCTTATGAGGCAGGTGGCAGCACCACTGAGCTAAATCCCTGGCCCTCATATTTTTTTGAGAAGGGGTCTTGACTGCTGCCAAGGCTGGCCTTGAAGCTGTAATCTTTGATCTTTACTTCCTGAGTACAGGGAATTACAGGCATGTGTCACTAGGCCTGGCAAGATGATTAATTTTATGTGTGTTTTTTGTAATTGAAAATATACAAAAGTTATCTTTGGTTGAATAGAAGACATTTTCATTATTAGTGAGCTACTCATTTAGATTTGAGAAATGGTATGATAACAAAACCTACCACAAACATGAATTTAATGGAAAAAATTTGAAATGTTCCTTCTAAAGCCAAGAACCATGTAAGCTAACTGCTGTTACTATTATTGACCTTTATATTGGAGATGCTGGGAAATGTAATAAAACCATAGAAAGAAATAAGGATAATGCTTGAACAAAAAGGAAGCTTTTATTATATTATTTTTCATATCTTCTAAGTTCAAGAAAATAATCTTATAAATAATTTGAACCAATTAGTCAAGAGATGTACATGAAACAACACACATTCCCTGAATGATATATTTGTTGGATGCCTGAGGAGACTTTGTGAGTTCTAGTTCCTCTCTGAAGCTCTACCTCTGTTGGATGGTGGGTTGGATGAGGAGGGATTGGAGAGATCTGGGTTCTAAAACAAAAAACAGGTCAGAAACTCTAGATATCATTTTTTTGCCATGGTTAATTGGTCTCTAGAGAGAACACTTCCATGGTGTTTTCAGTCAGCCATCCCCAAATGTCATTCCCTTGATCATACAAATGAACTAACTGTAAGCAAAACCCCTTATGAATGCTTATCTCAATACATAGAACACAGATTAATTGGCACCTTGGGCAATGCTACCTAGAAGAAACCCAGTTTGTGTCTTCTGGGTTGGAATCCTTGGTGCCATCTCCTTAGTATTCTCAATCATAGGTCATTTGGACTAGGGGTGTGCTTCATTTCTCACCATTGATGCTTCTCTTCCCTCATAATGGGCTTGTGTCAGGCCAAATGTGTTGTGTTCCAACCCTTGTGACTATTGATGAGAAAGCATTTGTGCCATTAGGATGGGGCTTCCTAAGTCTGTAAGTCAAATTTATATTTCAACAGGCAAGGAAAGAAGGGAAAGCTTTGAAGACAGAATTTTTGTGATCAAAAAGCAGACTTTCTTTTGACTCTGGAGACACTGACAAAGGTGGTATTATATTTAACAACTTAACATATACTATTAAAGGGGATTCCTATTACATAGCCCACAATTTAGACCTGAAATGTGGTTCAACTATATGTTGAGAGCCTAAGGAATCATCTGTATAATTCCAAATCCCAACTAGTTGGGGTTAGAGAAGTTCAGTTACTTAATCTATCCTGCTGTGTGTGCAGATAGAGCACAGGTTGTGAGACTCTTACATAATCACATGTCCTGTGATGCTCTGTCGCTAGAGTAATAAGTGCAAAGAGTGATGATCACTTCTATGTTTGTTCTGCCCACAAGTTTTTGCAGAGGAAATTCCAGGTAAGATAATGCTGGAGACTGATGCATGGCTACTTTGTGCTTGGATCTATTAGATAATGGCAGAAGTGATTAGTAACCAAAGTGGTTTAACACTTCTTTGGGTAGAATAATCTATTATATGGATAATGGTAATGACATATATGTCTATATCACTTATCTATATCTAGTTATATGTTAATCATACATTTGATTTAGGGGAAGAATTAATGTCACTGAAGAAAAAAAGTCTTTATTTTCTGATGAAAAGTTAGCATGTGTTTGGCTATATGTAGGATGTATTGTAAAGTCAGGAAAATGGGTTTGTTGGATTTATTTGGAGATGAAGATTCTGTAAGATGCCCACACCACCAATTCCAGAGGCAATAAGAACTAATATAGGTTCCTGTATGCTCTTGTGGGGTCATAGATCATGCTTATGGGTTGCGGCCTGTAGTTTTATCTGTCCTTCTCTGTATCCATTCTCCCTTCTTGACTACTTGTTCCATGGACACACAGGTGACATCTCTCCATAGCTTCATGAGCTGCTTCCAGAATTGTGTAGGGTCAGAGATGTGTAAGACAATCAATTACACTTACGTGGATAGGCAGATATACAGTATTTTTGTGGTTCAACTTTGGTTAGAAGTTGACTGATGAAATATGCAACAAAAGCAAATCACACACAGCATACACACACATATAAAAAAAAGATATATATGTGTATGTACATTTACATAACTATGTATTATCAGAAGAGACTCACAGTTTGTCACTTAACAGAATTAAGATATTCTGAAATTTCAAATTGGTCACATATATCAAGATAGATTTTGTTTCTTTTTTATTTTAAAAAGACTGCTATGATAATTATAGCTATTGAAGATTAGAATAGAGAAAATTTCACAAATTCTTTCTTAGATTAAAAAGTACTTATTGTGAAGTATGCTGGCTGCAGTAATTTTGATAAAACCACTTCATCTCCACTCACTTTTCCTAGGGAATGAGAAAGCAGACATGTGGCAGAGGAATCAGACTTCTTTGGAAGACTTCATCCTTGAGGGACTTTTTGATGACTCCCTGGCACACCTTTTTCTCTTCTCCTTCACCCATGGTAGTCTTCCTTATTGCAGTGAGTGGCAACAGCCTCACCATTCTCCTCATCTGTGCCGACCCCCGGCTTCACACACCCATGTACTTCCTGCTCAGCCAGCTCTCCCTCATGGACCTGATGCACGTCTCCACAACCATCCCCAAGATGGCTGCCAACTACCTATCTGGCAAGAAGTCCATCTCCTTTGTGGGCTGTGCAGTCCAGCACTTCCTGTACTTGTCTGTGGGTGGTGCTGAGTGCATTCTCCTGGCTCTCATGTCCTATGACCGCTATGTTGCCATCTGTCATCCACTGCGTTATTCTGTGCTCGTGAGCAGAAACGTGGCGATGATGATGGCTGTTGTGTCATGGCTGGGGGCAGCCACTAACTCCCTAGTTCAGACAGTTATCTTGATGTGTTTGCCTTATTGTGGATCTCGGAAGATTCAACACTTCTACTGTGAGTGGCCAGCAGTTGTGAAGTTGGTATGTGGTGACATCACCGTTTATGAGGGCACAGTGTACATCTGCAGCATCATACTTCTCCTTTTCCCCATCATCCTGGTTTGTACGTCCTATGGCTTCATCCTCCACACTGTCATCCAGATGCGTTCAGCCGGCAGTAAGAGGAATGCTTTTGCCACTTGTAGCTCTCACCTCACTGTGGTGTTCCTCTGGTTTGGTGCCTGTATCTTTTCCTACATGAGGCCTAGGTCCCAGAGAACTCCACTTCAAGACAAAATCGGTTCTGTGTTCTACAGCATCGTCACTCCCACTCTGAATCCTCTGATTTACACTCTCCGGAATAAGGATGTAGCCAAGGCTTTGAAGAAAGTGCTGCGGAGGGATACTATCACCCAATGAAAGCAAGTGTAGTTGTTGCCCTGCTTGTGAAGTGGTACAGGATGAGCTTCTTCAACGGATAATGGAAATCTCTAAGATTTTTCAACAGTCCATATCCCAGATACATTGCAACTTCTCTAGTAGAAGGATAGTTGAAATATAATTTTGCCTTTCTAGGATGATTTCAGATATTGAAGCACCACCAAATACATAGGTTTTGGAAAAGTTTAGAGAATTAGAGTAAATCTTTTAGAAATGTTTTAAAAAGAAGACATATGGAAGCCAGTGAAACTCTAAAAAGTAAGATAAAGATATAAGTATCCTGCCCCATTATTATTTTGACTAACAGAACCATATGTAAATTATGCCAGCAGAGTATTTATTGATCTATATCTAAAGTGTTCTGCTTAACATTGGAAATGTGTGGAGTACAAGGTGTTTTTAAAGGAAAAATTGATGTTATAAAATTACATTAATTGAGTTCTTTGAATGAATGTATGAGAATTCAGAATTGAAGGTATAATGCATTTTATGTACATATAATACCTATACATTATACAATATATAGTGTACTGAGAGTGTACAGTGATTGAAGTGTTAGAGTAGGTGTTGGAATTTGCTCATAAAACTTATCTTTTTTTTTGGTACAGGGAATGTAATTCTGGCTCTTGTGCTTGAGAGGCAGGGGTTGAAAATTTATCATTGTTAAAATTGTACTTGTGATTTCTTTGGTTTGCAATTGATGTTATATATCACTTAAGATTTTTTTGTTTATGTTATTTCAGTGAATGCAAATGCCTTCTTTCTGATGGTCTCTGACGTTGTGATGAAGAGTGAGAATCAAGTGTAGCAAAATCTGTCTCTTAGCAACACTGTGATATATACTAAATTAATTTCTTTTTTAAAATTTTTTTTATTTTTTTTTCTTTTTATTGAGTTTATTGGTTCAATCTAGGTATACAATACAATTACATTCATCATTGGGATTCTGTACCTTTAATAATAGGTCTTGATTCTCATTTTTTCCCCTTGTCCCTGCCCTCCCTTCACCCTCTCCTTCCTTCCCCATTTAAAAACACTTTATTTCCATTTTTTCAGTTTCTCATATCTTTTTCCTCTCCCTTATTACCTTTCCCCCACCCTTCCCACTTTCCCTACACCTTTAGCCCTTTACTTCCTATTTCACATTATTAATTATCTCATTAGGATCCTGTGTACTATTATAGTTTTTCATATCAAAGAAACTATTCAGTATTTCAGTTAAAGAAATCTCTGTATGAACATTAAAAATAGGGAATCCTAAAATAAAACTAAAAAGGACAGTAAAAGAGAAAAGGCAATGATGTAACATTAAAATAATCCTTAATTCTGGAGATGAAAATGGTCCCTGAACATACTTAAATTGCTTCTCGCTCTTATAGTCTTATCTTATTCTTTTTTCATTATTTAGAGAATACTTTATTAGTTTCTGTAATCAAACCCACGTAGATATGACCTTACATATTTAGTACGATGTGTTACCCCTGTACACATGGAAAAAAAAAAAAAAATTAACATTTCTAGACCAATATGGTTGTCCATTTCTGTACAATGCCAAGTCAACACAGTAAATTGGGATGACTTTTTCCAAAGTTGGCAGCACCGTTAAAGTTTCCCAAAATTCAATTTATATATATATGTGTGTGTGTGTGTGTATATATATATTTATATATAGAAAGACTAATAATAGTATGTTATGCATTGATAGCAGCAACAGCTTTTCCAGGTTCTGCAGTCATCTGAACAAAATTATAGACATTCAGCACATTCCATTAAAAAAAACAAAACAAAGAAAAGAATAATATCCAGACAACAGCAAAGTTCTGGCACGATTTTTTCTATTACCTCTTAATCATCATCTGGAAAGAGAACATTCTAGAGTAATATCATTAAATGTAGCTCTGATAAAGCACGGTCCCTACTATGTATCATAAAGCAGGTACTAGATATTTTACATTCATAGAGGTATGATACAGTACCATCCTACATCGATAATACTAGATTCAGTTTTGGTTTGAAATTTACTTTGCCTGCAAATAAGATTGCTATCCCTATTTTTTTCTGGGCTCCTGTCACATGGAGAATTGTTTTCTATCTTTACACTTTCAGTCTCTGGGCTTCTTTTTGCAGTAGGTGTGTTTCTTGTATACAACATATTGTTGGACTTTGCTTCTTATTCCATTTTGCCAGTCTATTTCTCTTGAATGGTAGGTTGAGGCCATTGACATTGCTGGTTATAACTGATATGTACTGACTTATTATTGGCATGTTATTGGCCTTTTGTTGACTCTTTTTACTTTTTCACCTTCTCCTTTTAGTTTCTTGCCTTGCCTATTTGATTTGCTCTGTTGGGCCTCATGGTGTTGTTGCCTTCATTGTCTTTTTCTAGGATCTTGTTTAGAATTGCTTGTAGTGCTGGTTTGGTATTCATGTATTTTCTCAGGTGTTCTTTGTCGTGGAAGTGCCTTATTTCCCCCTCCATTTTGAAAGAGAGTTTTGCAGGATACGTCAGTCTAGGTTGGAGGTAGTTCTCTTTTAGTACTTGAAATATCTCATTCCAGGCTCTCCTTGCCCCAAGGGTTTGTGTTGAAAAGTTGATGGTTCTTTCTGGTGCTTCCTGTTCCTGTAAGTTTCCAAAATGACCCAGTTGTAGGTCATAAATTTGGGTGTCCTTTGTGCTTTTCTTCCTTTCATTCTTCGCTGTGTTGGTTTCTCAAAATATTTTGCGAAAATGCTTGTTAATAGGTTAAATGTTTGTTTCCCTCCAAAATTCACATAGAGATCCTAATCCCCAGTGTGATTGTTTATGAAGTGGGTGTCTTTGGGAAGTGATCAGGTCTTGAGGATCACCCATGTGTGTGATGATCAACTTTATGTGAGATTTGACAAGTTTTTGTAATGCAATCAAGGGAGAGATTGTCCCAAGTCTCCAATTAAATTTTCTTTTTTCTTTATTCCTGCCCTAAATTTCTCGGTTGACATGAAGGCATGAGATTGTATATCTGTCATCTTTCCCATCACTGGAAGACATATCTTGATACATAAAACTTAAAAGAGGAGAAGTTTAATTGGGCTCATTGATTTGGAGTATTCAGTCCATGATTAGCTGGTTCCAAGGCAGAAGTATCTTGATGGTAAGTTATGACAGAGAAAAACTGCCTACCTCAGCCAAATGGGAAATAGAGAAAGAAGTGTGGGCAATACAACTTCCAAAGCACATCTCTAAAGACATAAGACTTCCAACCAGGTCACACTTCTTAGCTACACAGTAAGCTGTGAACTCTTCAATCCACCAATGAGTATAGTGCCTCTGTGATCCACTCATGTAACAAAAGCTCCCTCTCTGAACACATGAAACTTTGGAAGTTATTCCAGATCTAAACCATAATATTCCACCTGACACCTAGAAGAGTCATGTCCATTTCTTCATGTAAAATGTATTAGTTTATCTCTAAGAGTCATCGAAATTTTAACAATTTTAGCAGAGCCCTCTGAGAATACAGGCCAATTTACAGTTCAAAATTCTGTAAAAATAAGAGCGAAATACTTCCAACACACAGTGGCACAAGGTAAAGGTTCCCTTGCCAAAAGGGAGGGATATGGATCCAAAGCAAAGCACAGAAAACCAAACAAAACCAAGCTCAACCAAACCAAACCAGTACAAAATGAAAAAACAAACAAACAAAAAACAAAAACAGCAGGGAAAATGTTAAATGCTGTAGCTCCATGTCTAGGACCCATGGCAGGTTTTGGACAGATGTAAATTCCAGAGGATTTGGGTAACTCTGCCCTTGTGACTTTGTTGGCTTCAGCACACATGGCTTTTCTCTTGGATTGGCACCACTCACTGCCTGCAGCATCTCTCTGAGATGATCCATATTCTTGGCAAACCAACAGGCTTGGGGGCAGCACTGGGTCATAGTCTTTATACACCACTGTGTCAGGGGCATGTTACTTGGACTCTCAGGCTTTCCTCTGAGATCTGGCTGGACACATCCATGATCCTAGAATTGTATTTTGCATGCCTGAAAAAGCAGTACCATGTGGAGGATGACAAGGTCTGCCATAGCTGAAGCAGAAGCCTGACACCCTTGAGTCATGCCTGTACTGACTTCTGAAGTCTTAGATGACTGATCTCTGGGAGATACTTCCTTAGGTTTCCCTGAAAGAGAAAGGCATTCTGGGACTGTATTCTCAAGGGAAAATACTTCAAAAGAGCTTTCCCTTTGCTAAAGGTGTAGGGGAAGTGGGAAGGATAGGTGAAAGGTAACAAGGGAAAGAAAAAAACATGAGAAAATGAAAAAATGGAAATAAAGTCTTTGTAAATAGGAAGGGGTGAAGGGAGGGCAGGGATAAGAGGAAAAAAATGAGAACCAAGACCTTTCATGTAAAGGTACAAGATCACAATGATGAATGTAACAGTACTGTATATCTAAATGTACCAATAAACTCAATGAGAAAAAAATAGTTTGCCCTTTTACACCTGAAAGGGTATGATGGATGGGGTCTGGCCACACCTTCAAGGAATCTTTCTGTGCAAAGCACTTGACTTCTTTTTAGTGGCCTAATTTCCTCAGCAACTACACCTCCCTTTTTTCAGCTCTTCTTGATGTCCCAAGACTCTTTGTCATCTGGCTAAAAGCAGCCAGCTGTACCCTTACAACAGGGTGATTGTTGGGCTATCTCGAAATTTCTTTTTCCAGAGAAATTAGTCCACCACCCTGAATCTTATTGTGTTGCAAATTCTCCAGACTTTTGAATAGGACTTTTTTTTTTTTGCAAGAGTGTCACACATTTGGCCTTTAGTCCAAGTGTCAATGGAGTCCTTCTTACCAACTGAAACTTGCTGTACCTGACCTTCACTGTCCATATTCCTATCAGTATTCTGGTCTTCCGAGCACTGAGCTGAATCACCCATTAAAGTCTATTTATGGCATTGTCAGGATTTTCTGCACCACAACATTTCCAAATCTTTCCACATTTCTCTGGCAAACTAGCTCTGAAGGCTTCTAAATCTCATGTCAAGTACAGTCACAACATTGGCCCCATTCTTTTGTTTTAAAATTAATTTTATTGGTACATTTTTGATGCACATAACCATCACATTCATCATAGGGAATTTGGACCTGTATGTAATATATATTAATTCTTTTCTTTCCTATTTCTTCCTTCCCTTCAATACTTCATTTATAAAGCTTTGTGTCTGTTCTTTTCTTTCCATCCTTTAAAATGTTTTTGTTCACATTCCATTCCCACTCCCTCATTCACCCTCCCATTTAAACAATTTCTACTTCCCAATATCTACCTTCCATTTATATCCTTATTTCCTCTTCAGGGTTTTCACACATAAAAAGTAATGTGACATTTCAACATGTGTTTTTGATTTATTTCACTTAAGATTATGTTTTCAAAGTGCATCCATTTAACTAAAATGTCTCATATTTATCCTTCTTTATAACAGTGTAGTACTCCAGTGTACCTGAAAACCATATTTTCTTCATCTGTTCATCCATTGATGTGCATATGGGCTGTTTCAAAGATTTACTGATTACAAATTGAACTGCTATGAACATGGGTGTGCACATATTGCTGTGGAATGATGCTTTTAATTCTCTCAGGTAGATATCTAGAAGGGCAATGGCTGGCAAGTGGAACTTCTAATTTTAGATTTTTGAGGAATCTCCATAGTGATGTTCATAGTGGTTGTAACAAATGACAATCCCACAAGTAGTAGGGAAATGTGCCTTTTCCCCCACAGCCTTGTTAGCAATTGATTTTGGTTGATTTCTTGGTAATAACAGTTCTTTCTGGAGTGAAATGGAATCTCAGTATTATTTTAAATAGCATCTCTTGAATGAGCAGATATATCAAACACTTAAAATATATTTATTTGCT